CAAGGACAACGAGGAAAAATTCCAGATCTCCCTGTGCGAGACACCCTGCAAGGAACCGGGCTGCTGGTGCGGGACCATGCTCTGCTGCTTTTGCAGCCAGATGGTCATGCGCAAAAAGGTCTTGAACCACGTCAACCCCAACAGCGGGTGGGACGACTACAAGTGCTGCCAGGGCTTCTACGGCGGCTGCTGCTGCTTCGAGCCGGGAAAATGCGGCGAAAAGGCCTGCCCGGTCCCGTGCCTCTGYCTCGAGATTCTCTGCTGCCCCGGCCCGGCCGCCTCGGCGACCTCCCTGGTGCTCAGAGACAAATACMAGCTCGGCCTGGACGACGACGACGTCCGCCTGATCCGGTGCAACAACTGCCTCTTTTGCGTGGCTTGCGTCCTCAGCTGCCTGACCATCTGCWTCAACAACGGGGACCTCGACGCCKGCGCGAGCTGCGCCCAGTGCCTCTCCAACACGGTCTTCGCCTGCACCTCGGCCTGCATGATGGGGCAGGCCAAGCACGAAATCGACTACCGCGAGAAGAAGGCGGCCGCCCCCTCCGGGGAATCCATGGAGCGCTGAGAAGACAGCAAAGGCCAGACCCCTTGCCGTGCTTCTCCGATACCACNTCCGGGGAATCCATGGAGCGCTGAGAAGACAGCAAAGGCCAGACCCCTTGCCGTGCTTCTCCGATTCCACAAGATACCATTCCTGTCCGATCCAATGAAATCAAATTCGAATCATATCCCATCGAATGAATCATTATTAGTATATGTAACCAAACAAAGCAAACCAGTCACCACCAATACAGTAGTTCAACACATTAAAAATACTATTCTTTTACGCTCGAAATGTTGCACTCCCCCGTGCAACACTCGGCAAATATTTTTGAGTTACGGCACTACCGCGCTTGCTCGCTTTCCCCGGGCAACGCCTAGCCCTCTTGGGTCGTGTAGGCTTCTTCGAGCTGCTTCATCAAGACCTCGAGGCGTTCTTCGAGTTCCGGCACGCTCTTTCGAAAGACGTCCCGCAGCTCGTTGCGCTCTCGCCCGGCCTGTAGGATCCTGTGCTTCAGCACCGGTTTGTTCGCCTCCAGRCCCTCGTTCGTGCTCTTCAGRAAGGCCACTTCGGCCGCGACCTCGGTTTTGCGCCGCTGGAGCGAGGACAGGCGCTGGTCGACCTGCTTCTTTTCCTGTTTCAGGACGGACACGAGGTCCGCGGCCCGGTTCGAGGCGTTCGATGCCTCGGCGGAAAACTCCCGCTTCATCCGGCCCAGGCGTTCCTCGTAAAAGGCCCGCTGGTTCTCCAGCTGGCTCTTGAGCAGGGAATTGTACCGCTCCGCCGCGCCCTCGAGYTTCCGGTGGACGACCTCCCCCTCCTGGTTGTCCGACAGGCCCGGCGTGAGGCTGCGTTCCCCCGGCCTCCGTCCCCCGGGGCCCGCCCCATTGGTTTCGGAGTGGCGGGGATTGCTGACCTCCACGAGTTTCCCGTCCTGCTTGTTCTGGACCAGCCGGTAGACGTACCCCTGGCCGCAAAAGTCGTACACGTGCTGGGTTTCCGTGTCCAGCGCGTAGGCGTGGAGGGTTTGGCTGTAGTGCTGCCCGGCGTGGCTCAGGGTGCAGAACCGGGGAGCGGGCGCCGTCGTCGTGGASGACGACGACGACGCCGCCGGKGGGGCCGCCTCCGCGGTGTAGGCCACCCCGCACGAGATGGCCCCGCAGATCAGGCAGACGTAGTTGTGCTCGGTCGTTCCGCACAAGTGGCACCGGCTGAGGGTCTCGTTCAGGCCCGAGTGGTCGTACCGGCACACCGGGCAGGGCCCCGTGTACCGCTGTAGGCACTGCGTGTGGAAGGTGTGGTTGCAGACGGTCGTCAGCAGGGCGGCCCCGAGGCGCGGGCCCMKSGAAGCGGCCCTTCCGCCGCTTTTCGGCTCCAGGTCTTCCTGGCACACGGCACAGATCTGGTTGTYGGCAACCCTGGCCAGGGAATGGACCGGTCGATCCAGCAGAGAAGCATTGTGGCTGGCAGCATCGCGGTTGCTTCGTGCGCCCGTTGTAGCCATCGGTTCCTTGCTTTCTTCCTCGGGAATCCTCGCTATGGTGCACCGCCCGTAATCGGGTTGAAACATCGGGTTCCGTTTTGGAGGAGTCTTTGTCGAAGCCACCGGCGTTGTTGTGGTGGTGGTCTCCAGGTGAACCACGCGTTCTATCCGACACTTGTCACGGTCGTCAAACGCAATGTAGGGCTTTCCGTCGAGGTCTTCTACAAACGAAAGGGCATCTTCCTCGCGCACCAATTGCACCAGAACGAGGTATGTTCTGTCGCCGTTGCCGCCCGAAGTGTTTTCTTCCTTGCCCTCTCCCACGTCGTCGCCGCCGCGGCGGCAATCGTCGGAAATGACCACCCGGACGTGTTCCACAAAGGGACGGTGGGACCGGATCAAACTCAGAATCCCCTCCGGCACGTGCTCCGGTGGAACCCCGACCATGGCTACCATCCTCCGATCGCCCGCGCCTCCTTCGTTGTGTCCCAGCGACAAAAGAGCATCGGCAAAGGCATCCTTGCTCGCAGCGGTGGTGGTGCTGCCGCTGCTGCCATCCCCGGCAGCACCGGAGAGGGTGTAGACGTTCCCGTGAAAGTTTCTCGAGACGCCAAAGGAAACCGGGCGTTTTCGGACGAGGGATCTCTTCGCGCCCCCGTCCCCGCCTCGTTCCTCGCGCGGGGCTTCCTCCATTCCGGGTCGTGGTGGGTTTTCCGGGGTCCGTTCCGCTCTGCAAGCCCTTGGTTCGGTGTGGTGTGATGCCGGTTGGCCGTAGCCTGGTTGGTCCTCGCTGGGTTTGCTCCCCCAGAACACAAAACAAGTCTGCGGCGAGTGCCACTGCTCTTGTCATTTGGGGAGACTGCCCAGAATCTACCGTACGCCTCGTTCGCTAACCCGCTTTACAGCATCAAAAATCTTTCATGCTCTCACGTACGAATCGTTTACTGTACCGTACTGTATGGTTGAGTACTGCGGTTTAATGTGCACGATTTGTTTGACACCTATTTTTGGTAACTCTGTACATGCCGTACAGTATTGTACTATTAGTGCTGGTATTTGTCTCATTATTTGTGACCATCTTTTGTCATCAAGCATGGTACTTTAATCGTACGAGCGCAGGTACACGTATTCCGTAGAGAATTCTGTCGTAAGCTCAGCTTGTGAGGCTAAATCCCGAGTAGCTAGTGAATAACCTCACTCCTCTATTGTAAACCACGTAATAACACGTAGCAGGGAGCCTGTTAACATTTGCAGGTTATGAGCAACATGAACACATACCTCGACTCATCAACCATCATCAGACCAATTGGATAGATAACAGTTGGACAATAGCAGCTTGATTTACTGCCCCACCTCGAACGCGGAGCCACCGAACTTCGAAGTTCCGAGTCTTTCCCCGGCAGAGTTTTTCGGAAACCACCGGAGGAGAACCCAGTACAAAATCACGTACATTCTACGGTACCATTCTCCAGATGTCACATAGATGTCAGCAAACCAGAATCAGCAGAACACTGCTGCAAACACCCAATTCAGTCGACAAAAGACAGTAGATACTCTGCTCACAACACCACAGTCGACAACACCACCACACCCCAACAAAATGCCCCAACCATCACGACAACCGACAAAAAGGACACCACGACGCCATGCAGGCAGAGGACGCGCCATGAACCAAAAACCCAGAGGAAACAACCCATCACCAATGGAGAAATACCTCATCACATCACCAACCCGACAATCCAAGAGAAATCATCACTTGGCTCTCCACTACTACGAGGGCAACATCCAACGGGAACTACGGATAATCGCCAAGATCTTCCCAAAACATTCAGATGTAACCATTTACAATGAGTCCCTCTTCCCCTTCAAACCGAGGAACCCACCATCTCCATGGAACTACACCAACTACCTCAACATCATTCACTCTGACACACTGAATGCAACCAATAAGATCACAGCACTGGGTGAACCCCTATCAGCTCTAATCCATCACAATCACTTCAACATACCGGAGAACACCTCACCAACGACATCATTCCCACGTTACCAATACAGTGAGGCCTTTATCTCTTACATGAACAAGATACTCCCAACAGACACGGAAACGCCACCAGAGGAGGTAACCACTCGCAGACAGTCAAGACCTCCTCCACACCTCCTTCCCCAGGATACAAGCACTGAATCATCATCCAAACAAAGCTCCGACCGGATGAAAACACGCCGCAATAAGATGGAAACCAAAACAACACCACCAAACACCACACATGATCAACCCAGCCCTGACGAAGACGAAGAACTCAGCGATCCAGACTCACTCAGCTCGATCGATATGGCACCATCAGATCTCCAGGAAAGATTTGCAACAGAAAGAAGACTTGCCATGGCCAAAGAACCCCAAGAGCAAAGCAAACCGACCTCAATGACAGCAACAGACTCCATCACGGAAGCCCCATCCAAATCCACTCTTTCTGAAAGACTTGAATCATACGATCAAACATACGAGGAAATCGACAAGGAACTCCAGTCCTTTAAGGACAGCTTGAATCTACCCGAAGACTCTTCACAGACATCCAAGGATGACAAGAGTCGCCTACCACAGGGCATCATGACTCACATTAACAAACAATTGGAACACAACGACCGCAAATGGACAGTATACCTTTCCTCATTAAATACTCGTATATCCAACCTACAGGCAACACATGCCAGTGTCGCTGAAACCACCACAAAGGAACTAACAGATACCAAAGTGGAATTGAAGAACACCAAGGAAAAGCTTGCCAAAGCTCAACAATTAGTACAAACGCTCAGCCAACAAATTAAAGAGCAGGAAAACACACTAAAAAAGGCAATGGCAGTCAACTCCAACCTCCAACAGGACATCACAGCCGCTGCAAACACATCATGGGCATTGGACCAAAGAACGAACAAGGCCACTACAGTCTTGACATCCATTGTCAATGAAACCATACACCTTAAACACCTCCGAGATGAGGTCAGCAGCATCACCACGAAATCCCCACACTTACTAACAACAGCAGCAGAACTTTCTACTCAAGCTCACAACATCGTGAAACAAAGCAAAGAAGAATTAGCAACCTTCAGTAAACACATGGAAGATAAAATGATGAAGACAATTGATCACCAAACCAACCTCCTGGAAACAACAATACACGCACTTATCAATAATAAGCTTGAACACAAGAATCAGATTGTTCAAAGCTTGAAAAACAGCGTCGTAGCTCAAGCAAAACGGGAGATCACAGGCCAAGCGACCGACACACTTCAGCAAATGAAGCTGGATATCGCCACCACCAAGAATCACCTCAACCAGCTGTGTAAGAATCATGTAAACACACTCACAACCTACCAAAAAGACATCACGAAGGAACTCAACCAATCCATGACGGATGCCCAAGAAACTATCATCGTAACAAAGACAATGGCTGAATCCGACATTGAACGTACAGTCAACCATCATGTAACACATGATAAATCACTGGGATCCACTATCGAGGCACGCATAGCCGCATCTGTCTCCTCCGTGACATCATCCCCCACATTTCAAACCAAAGTCGACAATACAATCTCCTCATGCATCGAACGATCTTCAACACTACAGACCCTCATCACCGACCATGTACAAGATTGTCTTACACAACAGACGGCCCAAACCAAACGACGGGACCATCAACGACAGCCTGAACCCCTGCAGACAGACCTGAAAGGCAACAAATCACCAATACATGAGAGAGCAAGTCCCCCACCCAAAGGCCCAGGGGAGAGCGACCGCAAATTCGACGCGTACACAGCCAAACAACACTACATAATGGATGAAGATATCATCCACACCCAAAACCACCGAATCAGCAGAGCAATCCATACACTGGAGTTCAAGGACAACGATCACAACTTGATCCCTGAGACCAACAGATACCTCACCTCCGCTGAATTCACTGATCTATACAACGAGATCCAAGACACCATGTGCCTGGAGAGCCTCCCAATAGTTCCCCTTGAGGATCTTCCAATTCACGAAACATGCATTCCCCCTCACCACCAGGAATCCGAAGAAAACATCCGGAAAATCAGCACATACTTATACCGACGACTCATCAAAATGATCCCACAGGGCCATACACTCCTTAAGGGACTAATAGCTCAATACTCCCTCAAGAGCCGCGGATACGAAGCCCTATATGCCCTTGCACGTCACTCCCTGGACTATCTCAAACCGACCCAGAATGGCTGGGGACCGGAATGGACGAATACAGATGATCCTGGATCATATGCCGGCAAATTAATGGACTTTGTTAGAAACAGCAAACTGAGTCATAAGCATGACTATACTGAACTCGACCAAAGCCACGAATTTGTATATCGGGCAATGCAACATCACAACTATACTGCAGGCTGTGTTCTCCTCGGTCAATTATACACATACCGACGACTTACCCCCAATGCAGCAGACAAACCCGTCCCTAAACACCTGGACCTAACCACAATGCTCCACTTTATGATTGAGAACCCACACATGGACCAACAGCATGTCGCATCCCACCCAACCAAGGTGGTAAACAAAGTGAACACGACACCACGCAAACGCTTTGAATATAAAAACAAGGTTCAATGTGCATGCTGTCACCAATTTGGTCACAACATTGGAGATCAGATCTGTCGTTTCGGAGCACAGATGCATTATACACAGAAATACGCAACCGAACACCCGGAGCCATACAAACTCAATGCTATCAAACACAACAATATGAACTCCAGGCCCATGGTTAATCACTTCGAAAGTAAACTCAACGGACGAATTATCACAGAAGCGGAACACGAATTGGAACGCGAAGAACTGACACAACTACTCGTTGTCATTCCCACCGAAGACACGGAATAGGATACATGCCGTGTCCCTAGCGGGGCTCGGCCTCCTGACCCTAATGGGATACGACAATTCGACCCACAGCACGATTCACTCCCATCGGGCCTCCCCATCAACCAACACGGATATCCACCGCCCCGGCAACACACACATGACAACGACGTCTTCACTCACAACAGACGAAACGCAACTACACAAACAATACTTCCCCATTCATCCACATCCGACAGGATCCCCATGGCGACCACGATCCCCATTGAGACCAGTGCAAATGATCCTATAACAATGAACTGCCGTATAACAGGAACCTGTACCACACGGAACTGTACAGCAGGGGACTACACTGAACCGAGTACCAGTAGTACGGATACAGGGGTTCAACCAGGGGTTCAACCAAAAACCGCAAACACCACGGAATCAGTACAGATACCTACGGATCCCAACGTAGAACCAACCCACACGCTTCTCAATCCCATGACCCCTACCACTATACTACACCATACACACAAATATACGTTAAATGCAGTACTAACGGATACTGAATGTCACAAGTGCCGACTTCACGAACACCAACGCCAGTACAATACAGAACAGCCCCCGCCCATTACAACCCATACATCCACGAATACGGTAATAAACAATGACACGCGACGACACCCCACACACAGTACACTCAGCAACACACAGGAGTCAATCACACGTGGCAACGCCCTGACTCCGTTCCATATGTACCAGGAATCACTAACGCATAGCTCCTACATAGACACACCAGCAATACGGGCAACGCGACCACTATATCGGAAACACATGAAGAACACCCTCCAGCTACATACAGACGGTGCGCCATACGTGCTAAAAGTATTACAGCCCATCCCCACCAATACCACACACACTACTGCCACATGCCTCCTCCTATCTGATACAGGAGCAAACATGTCAGCAACTAACATGCAAAACATACTACACGACTACGAGCCCTACGACAACCCGGCACCAGTTGGAGTCTTCTCAGCCGAGGACGACTCGCTGACTAGCACAATATCAGCATACGGTGAAGGATATATAAAAATTATCTCTGATCAAGGCAGTATTATGCGCTGGAAAACACTGTATACTCCAACCTCCACAGGAACAGTCTTATCCCCAGATCACTACCATAGGGTACACAATTCCTACGCGTTCCTCCAAGAAGGACGTGCAAATAACAGGGGAAGTATACGATTCATAAACCAGCACAATGAAACTAACGAATCCCTCCAGACCATACGGAGCGACAATGGCCTGTGGTACATAACCAATAAGATCCTCCTGTGCAATGCACAGGCCATGGCTGACGACCTGACCCCCGAAGGTAAGAACAACGGTGAGCACGAACCGGAACTGCAACTAAACACAGCCGAAACACCCCCGCAACCTCGTACATGGTCCACGGGCCTCTCCAAAGCTCTCAAAAACCTTGAGCTTTGGCATCAGCGATATGGACACATCTCTCCCTCCACCCTCGTAAAAACACAGAAAGTAGTGGATGGTATTCCTCCCCTCCCAACATCCACACCTTTCTTCAAGTGCCCGTTCTGTGAGAAGAGCAAAATGACCAAATACGGAGGAAAACTAAAACCGAAGAAAGAAAAATTCATTCCCATGCAGGCCATCCATATGGACTTATGTTTCGTTAGCGGCCCTCCTAATCTTAAGGGCATTATCAAGAACAATGAAAAGGCCCTACCAACTCTCAAGAAGAGTCGCCATGGTCACATCGGCTTTCTCACTATCATTGATGCTGCAACTAGAGCACTATGGACCTTCCCCATTAAATCCAAAGAGCCACCCATTCAAATTGTAGACCTATTCCTTCGAAAACACGGCATTCGAACCACTAAACCAGGCAAAGCAATACTAACCACAACAGAGAATGGATATCTTGCCCGCTCTCGCACATTCGAAACCACTGCCCACAACCACGACTACACTGTCACACCAGAAGACCGCGCATACTATTTGGACCTCCTTCCGGAACAATTAGACTGCACGATCATGACTGATGGTGGTGGAGAACTGGCAAACTCATCTAGATTCCAACAAACAATACACCAACATGGATATCAAACCATCACTACGGCAGCAGATGCATCCTCACAAAATGGCCTAGCTGAACGACCTCATCGGACACTGAAGGAAAGGATTCGATGCCTCCTATATGCATCTGGTCTTGGTACTGAATACTGGACAGATGCCCTCCTCCATGCAACATGGCTATATAATAGAACATACCATAATGCAGTGGATATGACCCCCCTTCAAATGTACACAGGACAGGTCCCACTAGTGGACAACCTTATCACGTTTGGATCCAAAATCACAGCAAAGAAACCAGGAACACGACCAACAACAACACACCCTTGGACATACGATGGGATCTTCCTTGGATATGGAGCCACTACCGACAACATTAAGTACTTTGATATACATACTGGAACAGACAAAATCGCTCGTCACGATTCTAAAGATGAACTACACTATGGAGATGACCCAACCAATAGATCACCGGCAGCATCACACCTAATGGAGACATTTACAGAGGGACCACACCAGGAACACACCACCAACACTCCCCCTGACCCAATTGAACTGAAATTTAAGGATCCTCAACACCGCAACCCAGACAATCTAATCAAGGAAATACTCCAGGACACACAATCGTCCTACACGACAGCCGCTGCTGCTAAAGTCATCGCTCAAATACAGCAAGCCAACGTCACGCCTCAGATACACCGAACCAAATTTGAAAGACCGGATATTGCTACACTCATTCCAGAGCTGGAGACTATCGACATCTCTACCAACATCTATATTAAGGAAATATCTCATACACTTCCTCTCAAAAATACACACAGTATCCATCCAACCATGGGATTCATCGTGAAATCACACCCTGACATAACAAACGCTATGGAACTGCACTCCATCCAAGTAGGAACTATAGCCCATACACGCATCAGGGGATGGAAGAGGAAACTCCGAGGCACAATCCTAACACGTGTCGATGATAGGACTGTGAACTGTGAACAAGATATCATCAAGGCCATTCAACACGCCAAAGACACCCATCGACACACCATTCGGTTTTCGTTTGGATCCCTTACTGGATTTGCACTAAATGGAGAGGGTGTCCCCACCCTCCAAGCAGACCAACTGAATGTAATTGCCCATCACCTCCATCACATTAACTACCAACAGGACCTCTGGCCGGAGAAAAATGAATGGCCCAAACACATTGATTCGCCCGAATCTCGTAGAGAGCAAGCCACCATATCCAAATTAACACGAAATAAGCTCAAAGGAACACCCCAATGGGATGGATTCCTAACCTCCGAATGGAAACAGCTTAATAGATATCACAAAGTGGGCATGTTTGGGGATCCAATACTGGAAACGCCAGACATGACAGTTCTCCCATGGGTCTGGACATATATACAGAAGGAAAACCCACTCTCCGGAGTATATGAACCTAAATCCAGGGGAACATGTAATGGAGGCAAAAGATACGGCAAGGCTGTTACTCTAGCAGAGACATATGCGGCCTGTGTAGAACAGCCAATACATAGACTAACTTGGGCCCTTGCAGCAGCCCTCAACCTGATCTGTATAGGCTACGATGTAGGCAATGCTTTTGCAGAAGCCCCGGCGCCTAAATCCCCCTTCTACATGAGAGTAGACCCACCATTTCACCAGTGGTGGACTGAATGCCTTCACAAAGACCCAATCCCATTAGGTTATGTAATCCCTATCCGCAAAGCCCTCCAGGGCCATCCAGAGGCCCCTCGATTATGGGATAAGTATATATCGAAGATCCTCATCAAAGATTTAGGCTTCAAACCAACAACACATGAGCCTTGCCTGTACTATCGACACGATCACACAGGACTAACGATAATACTACGGCAAGTGGATGATTTTCTCATAGCCAATGCTGAATCCGCTGTCTGTGACCAAATAAGAGACAAGATACAACAGTGCATGTCGAACCCCCTCAATGTCCTGGGAACTATCAGGAAATTCAATGGGATACATGTAGACCAAACACAACAGTTCAATCACCTCCACTGCTCTACATATATCGAGAAGATTGCAGCACATCACGGATGGACCCTCGACACGTATCGAATCAGGAAAAGACCAACACCAATGAAAGAGGACTCAGCCTACCAACGCCAAATACAGCTCACAGAGGGCCCCGAAGACCCCAAAGAAGCGTTGAAACTACAACAAGCAGCTGGATTCAACTATAGACAATGTATCGGAGAACTCATATATGCTCTAACTATCTGTCGTGTGGATATATCGATCGCAGTAATAACACTGAGTCAACACTCACATAGGCCAGCCAAAATCCACTATGATGCAGTAAAACACCTTTTTATGTACTTGCTTCATACCAAACACGAAGGTCTCACTTACTGGAGACCAACACCACGTTACGATCTCCCATTACAGGAAAATCCACCGAAACCACACTCAGACCCAACAACACTCCGTAAGTTCTACCAATCACTAGATCCGCTTCAAATCCATGGATCCTGTGATACTACATGGGCCTCGGACCGTCTCCAACGGAGATCCATGGGAGGTGTTATAATGATGCTTGCAGGAGCTGCAGTATATTACAGAACACGACTCCAACCAACCATTGCTCAAAGCTCCACTGAAGCAGAATTCACTAACATGGCAGATGCAGGCAAAGCAGCCCTCTACCTCAGATGGATCCTTGATGAACTCTTGATTCCTCAAACAACACCAACACCAATTCTAGCTGACAATCATGGTGCAATACGTATGGCAAATGCACACCAACCCACTAGACGTACCAGACATGTAGAAATGAAACACTTTGTTATCCTCCAATGGACAGATGATGAACACATTAACTTCATTGAAACAAAATCTGATGAAAATTACAGTGACTCACTGAGCAAACCAACTGGTCGAACAAAATTCCTCCAACATACCGACATTTTCATGGGACGCCTCAGACCAGACTATACATACTCACACCCCATCCCAACACAACAACACACTTTAGATGAGGCTACAGCACCTTCCCACACCACTCCCGACACCACTGAAATTACTATATTTTGCTCCACTTGCAATCTAAATCCTCTAAAAGATCTCCTCCACGACGACTCCCTTGATTCTAGGAAGTTCTTCGACTACTTCGAATCTCCATCATTTGACTTACTCGATTATGACGAGTCTTTAGATGGTGCAAGTGCGGGGTGGTGTGAGGCTAAATCCCGAGTAGCTAGTGAATAACCTCACTCCTCTATTGTAAACCACGTAATAACACGTAGCAGGGAGCCTGTTAACATTTGCACAGCTACGGTACTTAGAAGTACAGTACGGCACATTTTACGTATCGTACGTACGGTACGCTCGTAGCTCGTACGTACTTCACCTGACAACCTCGTTCGGCATGACTACATACGGTACGGTACCGTACTTCTATGAATCTGCGCGCGAACTTGACAGTTTTCGAAAAACTGGGCGCGGAGGTACAACAAGATTCCACGACGACGATTTCCGAGGAAAGTGAGGTATCGTACGTACGAGCGTACGAAGGGTTGTTTGGTAGTTTGGCTCCAACGCCGAGTGGAACGAAGGTATTTTCGTATTTCCACAACCCGCATCGCAGCAGACCGTCAGAGAGAGTGTCCTCGACTCGATCGACACCGTTCTTGCTCTCGTTGCTGCCAACGACGCCATTGGCACTGACACCACCGTCCGGAACCCACCAAAAGAACCGCATATCCCGGGTGCCAATCGATTCCGATCGGATCGGATTGAATCGCATCGCATCGGATCTCTCAAACCAAACAAAAGCACCCAGCGGCGATGCACCGCCACCCACGGAAAGAAACCGGCACCTCCCTGCGTTCCCACCGCCACCGCCGCCACCAGAAACCCCGGTCGGATCGAAACCGGGCCCGTCCCTTGCGCTCCGCGGCGGTCCTGCTGGCACTCGCTTTTGCCGCCACAGCGATGGGSCCTTCGTCGGCCCTRACACYGTCCTCCCAGCTCCTCAAGGGRAAACGGGTCCTGGTCACCGGGGCCGGCCGCGGGATCGGCCGCGCGATCGCCCTCATCTGCCACCGGGAGGGCGCCAGCGTGGTCGTCACCGCCCGGACCGAGAGCGAGCTGAAAGAAACCGTCCGCCTTTCCAGGAACGAGGACGAGAACAAGAACGAGGAGGCGGGCCTGCGCCTGGCGCAGGCSTCGAGGGCCGCGGAGCTCCTCTCCCGCCGGGACCGGATCCCTTCCCCGCGGGGGGCGACCCCTTCGCCCGGCAGGGCCACCAGCGTGGGGGCCCGGCGGTCCGGGAGCGCGACGAGGGCCCGGGCGGGCCGGTCGTCCCTGTCCAGGCTGACGGACGCGGTCCGGACGGGGAGTGCTTCGGTGGCGGCCTCGAACCGCAACGAACSGTGCGAAAGCAACCAAGACGAAAGCGAAAGCGAASACGAGCCACCGGGCATGGTCTGGTACCGGTGCGACGTGACCGACGCGTCCGAGGTCGATTCGGTGGTCCGGCAGATCCTCGAAGAGGAGGGAGACATCGACGTCCTGGTCAACAACGCCGGTGGGTCCCAGTCTCYCAAGGGACCCGTCGGCACCCTCGACGGGGAGGACCTCGAGAGCCTCCTCCGGCTGAACGTCGTGGGTCCGAACCTGGTCACCTCGGCCGTGTGCAAGCACTCTCCGTCCTGGAAGAGAATKGAGGCGGGCGAGGGCGAAAAGGTCGTCCTGAACGTCTCGTCCAAGGCCGGAAAGGTCGGTCTGGAGAACTACTCCTTCTACGTGGCCACCAAGTTCGCACTGGAGGGGCTCACCTCCAGCTGGTCCAAGGAGCTCGCCAGGTACGGCGTCCGGGTGCATTCCATCAGCCCCGGGATGGTCGACACCAAGAGCTTCCCGAAACCGGCCGGAAAGAAGGGGGTCCGGGAGGCCTCCTCGATCCGGGAGTGCCTGCTCCTGGCCCTCGCCGGGAGGATCCCCCCGTCGCCTCCGGAGGACGGCGGCGATGCCAGCGACGGGAAGGTCATCGAGAACATGATGGACTACACCGGCCACTACATCCACGTCGACGAATTCGACCAGGTGGTCCGAGAAAAAGGCATCGGGGAGGCCCACCTGGCGTGGAAACCGATCGACGAGGCCCCGTTTCGGGTGTGACGAAACCAAAAACCCAAAACAACAAAACAACCAACAGGCCACACAGAGCAACAGAGGGGAGAAACGCAACGTCACTAAACRCACAAACCAATCTCCACGAGCTAGACGGTCCAAAACACCATTTCGAAACAATGCCATACTSCACAAACAACCTAGAAACGCACACGATTTTTTTTTTCGGATAGGTTTCGCCTCTAGCGGTGCTTTTGCGTTAGTCCGTCCGGAGAGCGTGTGTTCCCGCGCTGCTTCGATTCGCCTCGCATTGCGGCCGGTCGCCCTTCTCTTCCACGCCGATCGTCACCTCGGCCCGGAGGGCGATCTTGGGCAGGCTCTTGCACACGGCCCCCGCGTGGGGCCAGTGGTGCGGGAAGACCAGGATCCTCCCCCTCGAGGGCTGGACGCCCGCGCTTATCCACCGTTGGGGATGCGGRARAAGGGCCAGGGGGCTCCTTGGGGGGGCTCCATGGGGGCCCTCCCGGGGGCCGCGRACMRAGGCGTCCGAAAGGCGAAAGATCCMRGTGGTCCGGGCGGGGGTTGTGCTTCTCGGGTCTCCGGGGCTGCCGTACCGGATCCTCCGCCGGTTGAAGGCCCTGCGGCTCGGAGCAAGGCTGCCGCCTTTTTTGCTGTCGTCGCTTTCATCGYATGTATTGGCGTTGTTGAAATCGTTTGCGTTGTCGTTTGCGTTTTCGCTGTCGCTGTCGCTGCCGTCTTCGTACACCGACATTGTGAGGTTCCTTTCCTTCGACCAGTTGCTCGATGCGTCCCCCTCGTCCATGAGGAGGGTTTCCCCACCCAGATCGCAGTCGCTGAGAAAGAGGAGCAGCGTGTGGGTGCTCCTGGCGCCCGTGTCCTCGCAGGTCTTGGTCCCGTCCCGGTGGGGCAGGAGCTCGCTGCCGGCCTTTCCGTATTCCAGGAACCGCAGGTACTTGTGGCAGTAGACCGTGCTGCGTTTGTTGTTGGTCCTGCTTCCGCCGTCGGCCGCCAGGGCCCCCAGCGCCCGGTCCACCGCCTCTGCCAGAATCGCCTCGAGGGGCTTGCAGACCAGGCCCCGGCGAGAGTCGCAAAAGAACCTCCGGTCGACCGTCGGCCGCTTGCGGTCCAGGGGGAGACCCTCCCGGATCCGCTGGACCGTTCCGGACAGCCAGCCAYGGGGGCAGGCGTCGTCGATCACGATTCCGTGGGGAAAGCYRGCGGAGGCCCAGGCACGGCARGGGACGCGGTGGTCCGCCTCGAGGACCGTGTACCGGGGGGCGGTGCCGGGGGTGGATCGGGAAGGCATTCCGGCGGGAGRCTTCCCGGAGCGGCTGGTTTTCGSTRTTTCGGGAGAACCCTTGCTCGCTCGCTGGCTTGCTTCGGATCGGATCGAAAGCAAAAGCAAAAGCAAAAGCAAAGCAGATACCGACAGCGAGTCAACCGATCAACGATCCCTCGGAACACGGCATTTGCAACCGCAACAATTTCCCTGTCCTCGTATCGCTGTACACAATCGTATCGTATCGTATCGTATCGCCTTGTGTCGCTTTTTATACCTGCTTCGTCGTATTGTGCTTTGCTTCGTGTCTTCTGTTGGACTTCGTAGCTGGTCCGTCGAGCAGCTGTCCCGGTGGGATGGAACCGAAAACCGATGCATCGCTCTGTGTTGTACCGGTACCCAAGTACTTCACCTCGACATTGCACCGCGTACAGAGCAGTTGAAATACAAGTACAAGTACTCGTACGTACTCGTACTCGTACTCGGACTTGTACGCCAGTTACGGTACCTACCTACCTTCACCTAGCCCGAAAGCGGGGTTTTTCTTGGAGAGCTCTCGGATCGAACCAGTCGCTTATTAATGGCGTGGCGTGGATGGCGATGGCGATGGCGATGGGAGCAACACTGCGTGCAAGTAACGCATGGTGGACAGACCACTGACACCGGACCACCGATTTTCAATCACGGGTGAAACAAATCAAACACGAGCGAGAACCAAAAAGCAAAAGGGGTCTCGTCGTTCTTCCTTTCGGTGGTGTTTTTGTCTCTCTCTCCACTTCCAGCTTCCCCTTTGACTTTGCCTTGCCTGGAATCGTGCTACACATACTTGTAACGGCACGTACAGCAAGAGACTGCGAGTTCGTAGTGTTCTGTAGTTCGCAATTTGTGATTGTGATTGTGATATCCAAAGGCTCTACAATCTACAAGGCTGTACTTGTTGTATCACTCCAACACCCAACCAACCGATTGCTACATTCCTSCGAACGCCCGCACAATACAACGGTGGAGATCGCAGCAACGAACAATCCATCCATCCACCCACCCATCCAGTAAAACACACAACACACGACACGACACACATACCGCACTGCTGTACTACCGCACCCGCCATGAGCTACAACCGCAGCGGCCGCAAGGCCCCCGGCGCCGGGATGACCAAGAGGCAGAAGCACAACGCGGAGCAGAAGCGGTCCGCGAGGGCCGTCGGCCTGACGGAGTTTTCCCAGAAGAGGGGCCAGGTCCGGGCCCTGGAGGAGTTCAAGAAGCGAAAGACCCGCAAGCACCTGGAGACCTCCATCGCCCTGCGCAAGTACCGCAGGCTCATGAAGAAGGAGGGCCTGGAGGCCGGGACGGGGGCCAGCCGGAAGAGGAGGCCGGGGCCCGAAACCGGCGACGAAGAAGGAGGCGAAGCGGAAGCCCAAGCGGAAGCCATCGACGCGGGCGAGAACTGGAACGACGAGGAGGTCCCCGTGGTGGGCGACAGCGACGACAGCAGCAGCGACGACGACAGCGATGATGACAGCGACGATGACAGCGACGACGAAAACAACAGCAACAACAACAACAACAACAACAGCGACGAAAAGAACGACGACAACACCGACGACGAAGGGAAAGAACCATCGGGGCTGCCTTCCGCCGCCGCTGACGACGACGCCACAATCCAGAAACCAGAGTCGAATTCGAATTCGAATACGAATTCGAAACCAAGCCGCAAGCCGAAGCGGTCCGACCCCCTGGCCCGGGCCAGGGAGAAGGCCGCCGAGAACAAGCGGAGGGCCGAGGAGGCCAGGAAGCAGAGGGAGGCCTCGGAGAGGGARCGTGCCGAGAAGCTACGGTACCGGAAGCAGCAGACGAGGCTCCTGCAGAAGCGGACCCGCCGCGGCCAGCCCATCATGAAGCACGCCATCAACAACCTGCTGCACAAGCTCGAGAAACAGCAACACCAGCAAGACCAGCCACACCCACAGAAAGAACGCGGGGAAACGCGAAAACGCCCCCGGACCCCGCGCGGCAACCCGCAGAGGCAGCAGCAGAAGGGAGGAGTTGACCACACGAAACAGGAACGTCCGGCGGGCGATCCCCCGAAAAAGAAAAAAAARTCTCGAAAATTCTACTAGGCGATGCTGCGGCACGCACACTGCCACCGATCCACCGCGAAACGATGACAACCACGACAACCACAACTACAACAACAACTACTACTACTACTAACTCTCTTTTGCTACAACCAACTCTGCATCTTGTGATCTTTGCCATGGGCCTCGAAACACTTTGATATTATTTTAGTAGCACGGTACGCACTCCCAGCCGGGTTTGGCGTTGTTTCCCGCACAGACACCCGGTCCTTCCCGGTCTACCAAAACCATTTCTTCTTCTTCTTTGGGGGGGTTTCCTCTTTCGGTTTTGCCATCGAGGAGGCCCCCCACGGCCGRGCGAGCTGGTCGCCGCCCGGCTTGCTTGCGTTCTGGTCCGGGGAGGCAGACGCCCCCCAGGGCCRCGAAAGGTCGTTCTCCGCGTGCCCGGCYGGGTGGGCCGAATAGTCGTTCTGGAGGTCCCGCTTGAGCGTCGGGGAGGCCAGCCCGAAGCCCCCCAGGCCGGCGTCGCCAAAGCCGCCCAGGCCGCTGTTGTCGTAGACGCCGTCGCCGAACCCGGACTGCTGCATCAGCTCGTTGCTCCCGTATTCTCCGGGGCCGTCAAAACCCTCCTCGCCGCCAAACGACAAACCCAAATCCAGGCCTTCGTCCTGGTGGAAATCCAGGGGCATGTTGATGACCGCATCGCCTTGGTAGGGACTCTGCATAGCATCCGTCGCCATCGGATTGTAGGGGTCGTTCRTATCCCCGGCGTAGTCATCGTGTTGCTCTTCGGCGTCGTAAAACTCGTTTCCTTCCTGGGGATGATTGTGGGCGCTCGTCATCGCGGTAGCAATAGAAGCATCGTCGTCAAAGTTTGTTGCGATGGTTCCGTCGTCAAAGTTTGTCGCAATGGTCCCGTCGTCAAAGTTTGTTGCGATTGTGGACTCGTCGTCGTAGTCGCAATGATCGACTATGCTTTGGGTAGCCTCGAATCCTCGGACACTCTCGGTGTCGCTCGCTTTGATCGCTTGGTTTGCCCACCCCATGTAGTCAGATATTCCTTCTCCCTCGTCCCAATTCTTCGTATCCGAAGAATCCATCGCCTCTTTTTCGAGGTCCTCCGCCATTACCGCCACGGAAGAGTCGTCGTGGTTTTGTCGTAGAATCTCGCTCCGCATTTCTTGGGGAGTTGSCCGCGGTAGATGCGCCGCTCCAGAAGCGTCCGCTGAGCCTTCGGTTGCTTGCGCAGCAATTCCAATGTTGGGTGATGCCTTGGAAGTTATGTCGYYAGAAACTAGCTTTTCGGAACTTTCCTCAGTAACATCGATAGAAATRACAGGGATGTCGTYTGCAGGAGATKTTTCCTCGGTAATCTCCAAAGCGATTGCTGGTGTTTCTTCCTTCGAGGATTTCACAGCAGGTTCTGGACCAACAGCATCATTTGAACAATCTAATTCTTTGTTTTTTCTCGATATTTTCAGAGCAGCTTCTGCAGCAAGAGTTGCAATGCCACCTACAGGTGGCTTTTTGTTTGATTCCTTGGTCCTTTCCATATCAGCTTCCGTGGGAGGTGCACAAATTGCATCTGAAAGAGGTGTTTCTTTTGCTTCTTCGGACTTTTCCGAAACAGCTTCTGCAGCAAGAGTTGCAATGCCACCTACAGGTGGCTTTTTGTTTGATTCCTTGGTCCTTTCCATATCAGCTTCCGTGGGAAGTGCAGAAATTGCATCTACAAGAGGTGTTTCTTTTGCTTCTTCGGACTTTTCCGAAACAGCTTCTGCAGCAAGAGTTGCAATCCCACCTACAGGTGGCGTTTTGTTTGATTCCTTGGTCCTTTCCATAGCAGCTTCCGTGGGAGGTGCAGAAATTGCATCTGCAAGAGGTGTTTCTTTTGCTTCTTCGGACTTTTCCGAAACAGCTTCTACGTCAAAAGTAGAAGTTCCATCTTCCGGGGGCTTTTCGTTCGTTTCGTTGATCTTTTCCGAAATAGATTCTACGGCAAGGGAAGTAGTTCCGTCAACATAAGACTCTTTCTTTGCATCGTTGGACTTTTCCAAAGCGGAAACTTCATCCCCAGGAGGCCCTTCTTTTGTCTTCTTCGWCTTTTTCAAAGCAGCTTCTCCGGCAGGAGGTGTTGTTTGCATCTTTTTCAGAGCAGCCTCTGCCGGCAGGAGGTGTTGTTTGCATCTTTTTCAGAGCAGCCTCTGC